TTAAATAGAATTCGTGCCTCATATCGAATTTACCGAGTATCATAATTCCTCCAGGTGGTAAAGATACCTCGAGACAAGTGCTGGGCATAGAAGCCACAGGGCATAAATCTGCAAAGAAGTAAAAAGCTAACCTTTGCAAACAATATGGCTTCTCTCTCACTTACCAACTTTACATTTCCCTGTATGGCCCCGGAAGATGACTGGTTAGCCAGAGACGGGTAAGATTCCTCAAGGGAGGAACAACCTAAGACAGGCACAGTCGCAGGGGGGCCATCAGGTGAGAATTTGGGGATCAACAGAGGTGAGGCTCAGAACCTCACCCCCCCTGCTTTGAGAGAAATCTTCTGCATCCGTGGATGTCTTGCTGCCCTTGTCTAGCCTGGATTAATACTTAGTCCATAGGCACACACCTGATCATCTGATCATCTACATTTGCCTTCTTACAGCACTAAACTATGTTTTCTACCTTTATCTTGCATCTACCTACCACTTCAGCATTTTATTAAAAATAAAAATAATAATAATAATAGGAGAAATGTGGGATCAACATATAAATCAAGTACAAAAATCAAATGAATATTCATATTTGACCTGATGGTTTATAGGTCATATTGCATGATCAAAACCGAAAGTTTCTGTGATGAATGCCCTTGTACTGTTCACCATGTAAGAATTTATTCACTATGTAAGAATTCGTTCACCATGTAAGAACTTGTTCGTTATGCTTCAGAAGATTGGAGACTGACGAGAATTAGGCTTGAGATGGATTAATGATTGTACATTGAGCGTTGATCCCCCTATACTGAATTTTATTGTTGTTAACAACCATTTGATCAATAAATATGAGAGATGCCCTCTCAAAAAAAAAAAAAAAAGTAGTAGAGTTAAATAATTTGAAAAATTATTAATGAGAGAATGAACTGATTCAAGGTCTATGACATTTTTTTATAATCGGACCTCCTTTAATGTATGATTTGAAATAAAAAATGTGACTGAATTTTAATAGTTTAGCCTTCTTTGCAGCATGTTACAATATTTTCCATAATGACTGAAATTGTATACCCATCCCAATAATCTGCTGCTAACACTGGAAGAAATAGTTATATGGTAGAAGGACCAGATTTTTACTTTAAATCATTAAAAACATAAAACATCTATAAAATAGTCACATCAAAAAATAATACCTACTAGTAATAATTTTTATTAAAAGTGGTATAATTTATGACCAACTTACTTTTTTCTTAAATTTAAAATTTTTACTGTTATTTTTTCTTCAATTTACTCCATATTTTCCTTTCAAGCATAGTTTGAAGGGTGCAGCCTATTGACCTGTATCTGGTACATAAGGCTGAGGTTGTTAAGTTCAGACCTTATTAGAGATTTGACAGGAATTTTACATTCAAATTTGTTCATAGTTCAGGAGATTTAGAGGAAAAAAATGCTCTCTGGTTAAGGAAAAGACCTAATTACATTATTTTTATTTTTGTTATTTTAGGTAGGAGAATACATTAATGTTAATTTTAAAACACGATAATAGTTAAAAAACCAAGTTAATAGTGAATTAATTATTACAACATGAGAAAAAATAAAGCACAAAGCACCTTTTATTTATACCTAAAAAAATAACTTAGTAAGAATGATAACTTTTGCCAAACTCAAAAGCATTCAGTTGGATCTCTAACACTAGGTAAAAATGACTGGCATAATGAATCTGCCACTTTCTCAGAGGACTATGATTTATGGGATAAAAAGTATATATTCAAGGAAAAACTATTGTGAAGTCAGCAATGACAATTTTAAAAACCTTCAATGGCATCATTTTTATAAAAATTACCTAAGATTATTTGCTTTGAAAATAAGTTGAAGTATTTTTCCTCCAGTCCTGTACCCAATTTAGTTTTACCTTGGCTTCTGTCTCTGCTTTCTCCAATATCAGTGCTGGTAGTTGCAATTGTATCTGCTAAGGCCATCAATGACATCTGCTCCATCCGGCTGAGTCCTGGTAAACTAGAATGAAGTAAATGGCCAGAAAGAACCTGAGCATGCTCAGGACCAAAGTATGTTGGACTATATTGTGAAAGGTCTATAACCTTGGGCTTTGTATTTTCTTCATCTGTCTCTAACACATGACTGTCAGTCATTAAAGCTGAAGTCTGAAAAAGTTCATCATAATTTTCTTTTGACAACTGGTTTGAGTTATTTAAGGTATTCTGATTAACAGATTTCTCCACAGATGTGTAACAGCTATCGTCATCTGCTGCAAGTAAGGCATACAAAGGAAGTGGAGGGACAGAATCTATTTCTGTGTAATCTGTATTTTCACTTTTGTTGAACGCCTGGGGGTCTCTGGTGGTGCTTCCACTAGCACTGATGGTGAGAGACCTAAGGCGGCGCTCATGATTGGACTCAGCTTCATTCAGAGCCACAACTTCCCCCGCAATGCACTTGACAAGATGAGATAAGATGGCCTTCGCTCTCCGAACTTTGCCAAGATCCATGAGTTCCAAAAGCTGCAAGGGATGGTACTGAGGTAAAGTTGGGGAAAGAACATGAGCTGCTTCAAAAAGACCTGAATCTTCTATATCCACAGAAGGATCAAATGCAGTTTTTTTCCCACAGATTTTCTGTGCAAGACTAGTCATGGATCGAGTCAGAGTTTTCTTTGGAGGATGTAATCCAGAACTTGATGAATTACTCTGCTTTATTAAACTTATTATAGATGGAGTGCTCCCACTGTATGAATCTGTTACAACAGACTCTTGTTTAGAAGATGGCTGCCACTGGGAATATACATGCATTTCACAGTCCATTCCTACCACCAAGATGCCATCCCGGACCCATGATAAAGAAACAGGAAAAGGTGGAGAGCCTTCTACAGAAGAAACTAAGTCCATTCTTCGTAACAGTACGAATTTAGAAAGAGGCACAACTTTAGTACTCTCCCAGATAGGAAATGCCAGGCTTTCCTTACCAGTCTGTTCTTGTACCTTGCCAGCCAGAGGTCCGTACATAAAAAGTTTTGATCCAATTCCTACAGTCAGGATATGAGAGCCATCTTCTCTAGACATCCAGTCTAAGTGAACTAGATGCTTTGTGTTTGATGTGATACTCTCTTTACTGGATAAAAACAACTCTTGTTTATTATAGGCCACTAAATTGCTATCAATACTAATACCAGATTCCAACACTGTATTTAACTCATCTAAATGAACTGTCTGTTCAAGGACCCAACACGAACCTCCTGTAGACTCACACTCAAAGATACTGACATGCATCACGAAGTCCTGAGAAGATCTACTATTAGATGCAGGCTGCTTATATGCTACTGCTAAGCGATTCGTGTGAGCACAGCTAACTTCTACAGGCCTACCGGGTACAGTTATACTACTACTGCTCTGAAGTCCATCTTCAATAAGTAATGGCCATTCTTCCCAAATATATACAAGATCCATTTTTCCATTCTTTGATGTGGCAGATTCTCCATCTGTTACTCTGCATCTCCAGAACCTTACTTTCTCATCTGAGCATGAAGTTGCCAATAAATAAGGAGCACTGCATACAGGATATATGGAAGAAGAACTCAGATGTCCTAAAATAAAAATAATCCATTAACAAAATGTTAAATTTGGTGAAAGATTTTTCTTTTCATGTACTAAAGGTTTTAGTCTTTTGTGTAAACTACTGTTAACCACATGACAGTCTATATTTAGTTTAAGGGTCAATAAGGATCTTTAAATGACATTAAAAGGCATATAAAAAGGACAATATTATCAAAACCTAGAGACAAATGAGAACTTTAAGATAATTTACTTCAATTGCTGCATTTTATTAATAAGGACCCTAAGCCAAATGTTAAGTACCTTATGCTTAATCAAACAGCTAGATTAAGACAGAATTAGAAAACCTGAACTCTAGTACTCAATTCAGTCCAGTATTTTTTTCACAACTCTTTGCTAGTTTTATATATTATTAAAAATCTATTTTTAAAGACATTAATACATTAAAAATATTTTTGTCTCTTTAATATTTTTTAATAAAACTTTGTGAATGGCTCATACTTATGTAAACACTAACAGGGCCCTGTATGATTGAGCTGTGTTTGACATAACTGATGCTAAGAAGATTCCTAAGTAGGACATAATGTTTGCTTGGGCTCAATGTTATTATATACTATTTCTTCCTAAACTAGAGGTTAGCAAACTTTTCCTTAAAGTGCAAGCTAGTAATAAGTTGCTTTGCTAGCATAGGGGTCTTGGTTGCAACTACTCAACTCTGCCATTGTAGAACAAAAACAGCCATACACAAAAGTAACCAAATAGGTGTGGCTGTGTCCCATACTTATTTGCAAAACAGACAGGCGGCCCATAGTTTGCCAGCACTGTCCCAAACTTCTAAACATAAACTACTAATTTTAATGGGGAACATTTATCATATTTTAAAAGCACATTTCAACACAACTGTAATAGATTTTTTTTTAAGTCCAAGGGGACTTTAAACAATCAGTGTTGTCCATTGGTTTCTCTGAGCTGAAAAGAGAGTAAGAGCTTACTCTTCCCAATAGTGTTAATTTTAAAAAAATTGTGAAGACCAGGAAAAAAATCTTTCATGGTATGCTACTGTTTTAGCCAAGCAAAACAAATTTCTTCTTTTTCCTTAGGACCGCTTTTCTTTGTTCATACCCAATTTAGCCCAAAGTTTAAAAAAAGGGATTTCTTTTAGAAATATCTTCAGTTTCTCTTACATTTGCCATATTATTTTAGCTGGAATTTAGTAGTTCTGGCTAAGGATAACAGGTCTAAAATTTTATAAATGAAAAGGTCATTCTTTTTCAATCTTTAACTTTCCTTTCCTTGCATTAATGCTTCTTTTACTAAAATATACAAAGAAGTAGAATGTAAAAGTTATCAGCACACCGTTAGTATCCCCCAGATCCTAACTTCACCAATTAGAAAGGACTAAGTACCTGAAAACAACATGGCAAACTGAAAAGTATTCAAACTAATCACAGTGGGAAAAAAAATGGCAGAGAAGTAGAAAAGACCAAAACCCACACTTTGACTATGAAAATGAAAGAAATGGGTGATAAAAAGACCACGAATGTTTATTTTTAAGAAGTTCCCATACTGCTGGTCTGGAGGCCACATTCTGAGAACTGCTGCCCTAGGATAAGGGTAATAGATATGTATCAGGAGCCATTATACTCAGGATCCTTCACAACACGACTCCAGGAAGCCATCACCAGTATCAAAGCTGCTAAATAAGGTGTAACCTTGTTATCTCCTCCCTAGAAACTTTCACTTTGTCTTCACAAAATGATAATGCAAATTTGTTTTTAGAAACCAATACTTAAAGAACACCACTGGCTGAAATATGTCAGAGTAATCCTAAAACTGAGAAATTTAAGTTTTCAATTTGGTAAATATTCTTTCCATTTCTGCTTCTGTGTGATTTATCAAAAGGTAACTGCACCTATTTTAAATACTTAGTAGAAGAATCATAAATTATTTTGTTAAAAAAAAAATACCTAGTAAGCACTCATGAATTACAAAGTTTAGTTTCTTTTCACAAAATTACAAACCTGCTGATGGCTTAACACTTATTATCTCAACTCCTTCTGGCAAATGCAACTCTTGGCTATAAACCATTTCTGAAGACAGTGTCAACTTGCTGGTACTCTGGAGATTTGCTCTGCAAGCCTGATACTTCTGTGAAAAAGGAGATAAGATCTTTTCTGGAGAAGAAGAATAATGTTCTTCTAGCTGCCAAACTGCTTCAGAAATTTTTGTATCTACTTTTTCATCTATAAAACACAAGAAAACAACCAAAAATCAGGGTGAGTGGAACCTTATAAACATTAATAGCTATGTCTTATAATCTAAAACTGTCTTGTAAAAGATAAAAAAGTAACCATATTAATATGTTTTTTAGAGCAAGAAAATCAGACGATCCTTTGGCTTTTTTAATTAACTGAATAAACTACAATTACCATCATGCAGTAAAAATCATTTTAAAAATGTGTCTGAACTGTCTAATCATATGATTTATTAACTTAAACCTAAAGTTCAAATAAAAAGACTTACCCAATGAGACAGGAATGGATTTTAAATGTAAATTCCACATGTGTAACAATGAACGGTTATCTTGAGTACACTCTATTACAATTAGGTAGAATTTTTCAGAAAATCCCTTAGGTGAGTTGCCTGTTAATTAATGAAATTTTTCACTATTAACATGAATAAATGATACAACTTATTAAATATACCAAGCTAAAATAGCTGAATTTTTAAAATAATTTAAAGCTCTTAAAGTCCTAAGTACAAAGTAGCATTATAGAATATAATCAATTTCTTTACCATATGAATTTTTAATTAACTTAAAATCGCAGCAGTTATACATATGCTATGCTTAAATTTCATTTTTGAATGGACAGGCTTATAAAATCATATATTACAGTCATCACCATCACATTGTTCTCACATTGATTGGACCATGATAAGTAGGAAATTCCTGATTAGATAGGAACTATAACATAGGAATATGATACTTTGTCAACATATCATGACAAAAATTATGCTGCCAAGCATATTTCAAGGTAAGTTAAGTTCCCCAATGGAATGACCTATTAATGATGTTTTTAAGTACTCCTTATACAACATATTATTCAAGAAAAATTATCTTAGTCAAAACTGCCTAATTTAGGCAGCACATAAGTTGCTCAGAATAAACTAAAAGGAAAAAAGAACCTATCTAAAATATATCATTAAGTCAGTGGTTCATCATTGCTTGAAGAAAAGGAATATTTAATGACAGACTTTAAGTTTCCTTTATTACAACCTAGTCTTCATTATGCACAAAATTATGTAAAGAAAAATTACATCATAAAAACTATATAAATCAGAACATATAGAAAAAAATCGAAGAGTAACTATTAACAGAGTGTAATGATTCTGTCTTTTTAAATTTGCATAGGAAAGAAGTTTTCAAAGGAACACTAGGAAAGAAAGATAAATCATAAGTATCTTAAATCATATTATGTTAAAAGACAAAGAAAAGAAAAGGTAACTAGTAATGTGTTCTGGGTATTAGGCATTTAAATTACAAGAATTACAAGGAAGGAAAGGATAAGAGATTATAAAAGAGGAAAAAAGAACACAAATAAATCTATTTTTGATAATTTCACTAACAGGAAAGAATGCCCTAATAATGAAAATATCTGTAAAACATTTCTTTTGCTCTTGATATTATAGCAAAATAAGATGAAAACATAACTCTTTTGAGTATTTTCTGGGAAACTCTGACAATGAAGATAACAGGTTTTGGAAAAAAAAGAATTCTCTGAATATTTTAAGAAAAACTGGAAAAAAATAAATAAAGAGAAAAAAGTAAGTTAAAAATTGAAGAATCGTAGTAAATAAAATGCTGGAATAGATGAAGATCATAGCAAAACAACCTTAAGGAGAACAGAGAAATTCTTCAAAACGTCTTTAAAAATTTGCATTTTTAACGATAAATTCTTCAAAACGTCTTAAAAATCCAGCATTTTTAACGATATTAACATTGTTATTAATATTTTAATATATAAAAGGAAAAAGAACATTTTGTTAGTAAAAATAACCCTTTATTCTGTACCTAACATCTTTACTTCCATTTTTAGCATGTTTCTATCACTGTATTCAGTGGTTACCAAAGGAATGGGTTTTTGAACAGTTCATGATTCTCAAGAAAAATGACAGACTAAGTGAAAGCAGTATGGTAAGAAATTAGACATTCAACATAAAGTGCAGAACTCAAGGACTACTTCTCAAAGGAGAAGAAAAATGGAGAAAAGGTGGGAAAAAGAAAAAAATGCACAAAAAAGTAATGAAAATAGTCTGAAACAAGTACAGAATGCAGTTATTAATATTATGTGACACTTCATAACTGAGTTTTAAAGCAACCAGCACACGCTTATGGTTGCTTTATAAGGAAAGTCATTTCTGAGTTTCGTTTGACCTTATTATTGAAACTGATGACCAAGAGAATTTTGGCTTCATTTTGCTCTGTTTTCCTTTATGCAAAATAAGACTTTATACTGGGGTGAGGAGTTTAAGTTTAATGTAATTTTTAGACTGTTTAATTATAAAAGTATTTATAAGATATTTAGTCTTTAAATTATAACTTGTAAAATTATAAATTTTACAAAAGTAAAAATGAACAAATGGGACTATATCAAACTAAAAAGATGGTGTACAGCAAAGGACACCATCAGTAGAACAAAAGGCATCCTATAGCATGGGAGAATATATTCATAAACAACATATCCGATAAGGGGTTAACATCCAAAATGTATAATGAACTTGCATGCCTCAACACACAAAAAGCAAATAACCTCATCAAAAAATGGGCAGAGGATCTGAACAGACACTTCTTGAAAGAAGAAATTCAGATGGCAATAGGCATGTGAAAAGATGCTCCACAGAGCTAATTATCAGGGAAATACAAATTGAAACACAATGAGAAATTACTTCACACCAGTTAGGATGGCCAAGTCTAAATGACAAGGAACAATAAATGCTGGCGAGGATACGGAGAAAGGGAACCCTCCTACACTGTTGGTGGGAATGTAAATTAGTTCAATGATTGGGGAAAGCAATATGGAGGTTTCTCAAAAAACTAAAACATCTGAAATACCATTTGACCCAGCAATTCCAGTCCTAGGAATTTACCCAAAGAGAACAAGTTCTCAGATTCAGAAAGACAGATGCACCCCTATGTTTACCACAGCACTATTTACAATAGTCAAGAAATGGAAGCAACCTAAGTGTCCATCAGTAGATGAATGGATAAAGAAGATGTGGTACATATATGTACAAAACAGAATATTATTCAGCCATAAGAAGAAAACAAATCTTACTATTTGTGACAACATGGATGGAGCTAGAGGGTATTATGCTCAGTGAAATAAGCCAGGTGGTGAAAGACAAGTAACAAATGATTTCACTCATTTGTGGAATATAACTACAAAGCAAAACTGAAGAAACAAAACAACAGGAGACTCACAGACTCTAAGAAGGGACTAGTGGTTACCAAAGGGAGGAGGGTGTGAAGGGAGAGTGGGTGGGGAGGGAGGGAGAAGGGGATGGAGGGGTAATATGATTAGCACATGTGATGTAGGGATGGGGCACAGGGAAGGCAGTATAGCATAGAGAAGACAAGTAGTGACTCTATAGCTTCTTACCATGTTGATGGACAGTGACTACAATGGGGTATGTGTGGGGCCCTGATAATATGGGTGAATGTAACAGCCGCAATGTTGCTGATGTGAAACCTTTATAGATTGTATATTAATGATATCTTAAAAAAACATAACTGATGAACCCTTAATTTTTTCATATTTATTTCCTAGTTAAGAATAAAAAGACACTGGTATTTATAATAAATAGTATCACACAACACCTACATAGGAAAATTTTAACTTCAAGGAGATGAAACATCTTTATTAACTTTATTATTTATTTTTAATTTTTTATTAACTGCCTCACCTACTGACATAATATTTTTTATTACATAAAAAATTCTTCACCTGCATCAGATACATCTCTTCCCAGACTTTTCTTCTCAAGATGATTCAAAATGAAGTCCTCTTGAAAAACATGAAGCAGCTGGGTTTTTCTGCCTTGCTGAAAAATAAATACCAATATAAGCTGACATATATGTTATTTACATAATGCTAAATGGCCAGAAAAATAATACTTACAAGTTTGGTAATAGGATCTAAAGCAATAATGCATCCTGGCCTGGCTGTTGACTGTTGGCTTACGATGTTAAACACTTCACCAACATATTTCTGTTTTTAAAGAAATGGATATCTCTTTTATTAAACAATTAAATTCAGTAATAATTAATAAGAAATAATGTGAAATTTCAGGCATAACATTAATAAGTATTTTCAAGTGAGGCTAAGAAAATTCACAAGCCCCTTTCATTACACACATTCTAGGACTTTTACTAGGAATGAGTAAGAGTTAACAGCTCTTAAAAGAAAGACAATGCTTGGTAACTGTTGGAGGGAAAAAGTATTTTATAACCATTAATGTGAAAGAGTGACTTTAATCTCATAGAAATGATCTAAGAATCAACGCTTTTTAAGCAGTACTCTGAGGTGAGAAGAAACAAGCTGACATACTGTCTATTTATACATGCTGATTTTTTAATCCTTTATGTTCTGATTGCTCTAGTCAAGGTCACATTGCTAAATCCAATCTTGATCATATCTCATCTATCAACATTATTTGATCATGATGATCACTCCCTTCTCCTTGAAATAATTTTCTTCGCTTGGTTTCCACTGCACACCATACTCATCCCACTTTTGACAATGGAACACCCCAGGATTCAATCCTTCCATCATTTCTACTTTATATCTATTCTGTATCTCAGTGATCTCATTCAGCTTCACGATTTAAATTTATATTCTGACCACTACTTATTTTCTATCTGCAGATTGGGTATCCCTCTAAACTCCAGACATTAGCATCTCAAAATTAACATGTCCATATCCAGGCTCAAAATCTCCCGGATCCTCAAAATCAGGTACTCATCCAACTTCTCATCTCAACTCAAGGCAACTTGCTAGTGTTGAGCCACAAACCTTGACAGTTATCCTCTCTTTCTCACATAAACCCCATATCCAGTCCACACCGCACTGTTCAGTGTTGGAAGACAACCACATTTGACCAATTCTTACCATCTTTTATTGCTACCACTTGCTACCTTTCTAAGCCCTTTGACTCTGTACTGGACTACTATAATAGTTCTGAATTGGTCTCTCTGATTCCCCTTCTGCTTCCCATGTCTAAACTATATAGAAACCAGACTGCTCCTTTTAAAATCTAAGAGAGATTCTGTCACTCTGCCATTCTCTTCATGGTTTCTATGTTACTCAAAGTAAAAGTCAAACTTATGACAAAGGCTTATGAGGCCTCATACGACTTGGCCAGGCTAACTTTCTAACTTTAATCCTGAATACTCTCCACTTCACTCTGATGCAGACACAAGAGCCTCTTTACTAATTCATTACACACCAAACATGCTCTGGTTTCAGGATCTTTGCACAAGCTGTTCCTCTTCCTGGAATACTCTTCCTCTAAATAGCCACACAACTAGCTTCTTCATCTCTTTCAGATCTTTACTCAAATGGTACCTTTTCTATGAGGATTTCCCTGATGAGCACCTTACTTGGTATTCCCTACTACTCTGCAATGCTATTTCTCTCCATAGTTTTTATTAGTATCTTTTTATCCTTCTCCCCTATATCTCTTTAGAATATGACTTCATATTTTTGTCTACTTTGTTCACATCTAAGTTCCCAGAATTTAAAACAATTCCTGAAAAACAGAAGGCCTTCAATAAATATGTTTCTATTATCATACTATATATGTGTTTTTAAAAACGTGGCATTCTGTAAAACCATGCATTAAAAATAACTTAGGGGAAAAACTGAATTGGAGCAGATCACTGACACCTATGCAATTCTCTAACCAGAACATTAATAAAAACATTAATTGGTAACTGAGAAGATGGCTTGAATCTCCTAAACAAGAAGTGTAGTAGGGCTGACGGTTACACCTCAGGGGATATTTTAAAACACCAAAACCAAATGAATAGAAACATTGGCTGCTAGAGGCACTGAGACAAAGTAGTGGTGGACTGCTATTAGCTGGGCACAGGAAGAAGTGCCACCTATCAAAAGACAAAAGCTTTGCAGTGGTGTTGATAGGATTCCTAACTCCATTGCAACCAAGCTGAGCGCTTTTTCTTCCTTGATTAAGATTAAAATTTCACTGTTATTTCAGCTCCCCTTGCCTACACACAACTGAAGGTTACGAACCAACATAATTTCCACATTATACTGTCAGTAGTCCCTATTTATCCCTTAGCAAAAGAAGTATTACAGAAACACATATTGTAGGACACTGGACTCTACTTTTGGAATGGATGAAATAAATGGTCTCTTTTTAAAGGGGCTTACAATCACTGTAAGGATACAATGCAAATGTGAAAAAATTAAATAAAAAAATATACAGGTGTATTATAAATTATGTCACAATTCTAGAACATACCCAATAAATAGATAAATATCATGTCTTAAAAACCATTTACTTACAGAAATTTCATGATTGGAAAGCTCATATAGAAGTTTCTTGGCATCAGTAACTGCTTCATATAATCTCAGATACTGTCCATCACTTGCTACGAAGCATGCACTAGGAGAGTTGCAGTATGCACCTACAAAGTATTTACAAACATTTAAAATTTAACCCTTACGTGATAATGTCAGAAAACATAAGTTTCTTGAGAATGCTTACCTAAACAGTAACTGGGTATAAGAGTGGGCAGCCATGCCACATTGGAAAATGCAGAAACATGAAGAGAATTAATCCGGGCAAGTTCAGAAACACCTCCAGAAAAAGACAATGGTCCAACTGGATCAACCCTCCAAAGAATAAGCTCACTATAAACTGCATTAGGATCCTGAAATGCCACGTCAATGGTGCTTTTATTCTGTTGTGCCAAAGAACATTCTTCAGTATTTACAGCATCATAAAGTTGCTTTTCGTTATCAATGTCTGGTGTCCTTAATGCATTATGGTGTGACGTTGTTAGCAATAATGGTAATACTGAGTGGCAAGCTAAATCATTAAGATGAAAGCGATGACCACAATATCTGGATTTGTGAGAAATACTCAGAACTGTAGAAAAAGCAGATTCCTCAGCAAAACTGACCAGCCACTGATTCAGAGAGCCATCAGCATGCTTCGAAATCATCATAACATTTGGAGTAAAAATACTTAATTTTAAACTATTAGTTGATTTACTGTGACCAGAAGAGATAAGCATTGATGTAGAACGTGTGAGGCTAGAGGGTTTTTGTTTCCCTTGCTGAATAGCCAAGTCAACGTTCTTGGTACAGGCATACATCACTATGCTTTTACAGAGAGAGTTTGCATCACCTGTAGGGAAAGCTACAGGAATTCTGGAAACAAAGGACACCTAGAATTAAGAAAGTGAGCATTAGAACACATGAAATTACATAAACAGTTATTATAAAACAATATCCAAATTGAACTAGAAGTAGCTCTCCAGCCAACATAATAATAGTACCTGAACTTGACGAAACATACCAGGCTGGTATTCATCCAGCCAATCCACATGCCAAACCAGCAAAGAACCATCCATGGGATGAATACTAAACAGCATGTCTGCATTTTTACTCCATTCGCACAGAAGTACTTCAATCTGGTGATCAGTGATAGCTGCTGGTAATGGCACAAAACTTGAGTTTGGTACCGTTTTATCACCACCCAATTCCTTCTTTTCATCAATACCATCATCCGTTTCTATAAGCAAAAGGGTTCATGAACCAAGATGTAACTATAAATTAAGAAATATCCTTATATATGCAATCAGGATGAATAACATAATAGTTTTCATATAAACAAGAAATGGGCTCCCCTTTAAAAATAACTTTGCTCCAGGAATAAAAGGCCACTGGAGTTAACTTAATAATCAGAAGGCTCAATAATCAGAAATTAATTCGGTAATACAGAGTTAATTCAGTTATATTTGTTTGAAAATGAGTTAGTGCATTAATAGTAGAAGGACTAATACTGGACTGGAAAATCGGTAAACTGATTTCTAAAGAAGAAGTACCACAATTAACTGCTCAGAAGTAAGACAAACCTCTTCTTTTGACCTTAGTTTTGCTCATGGTAAAATGAAGGAGTTGCAACTGGAGCTACAACTCTGGGCTGAATTTTTTTAATATATTATTGGAATATAATTTGCACATTCTTCATAATGGAGATTTATCTAAACCTGAGTCTGTTACACTAGCTATCCTCTAGATGTATGCACTTCCAACCGATATGACATCTTAAAGAAACCATTTTAAAGGAATACATTTATACACCCTATTTCCAGATTTCCTTCAATATACAGGTAATTAAAAATAAGCTGGTATGCCAAATTATTAATATAGATAAATATATATATTCTGACTTGTATTTCAAAATCCTGTCCCCTTCACCTGGTTAGGAATATAGAGCTTTTCTTAAAAGAAGACTCACAAAAGATGTAAGACTGTTTACCAGATTTAAAAAATTAGTCAAGACATGCAAATCATTAAGAAAAAAACTCAACAGAAAGTTAGGCAAAGGGCATGAAGAGGGAAACTACAGGAAGGGCTAAGTAATTCTGTTCAAATTGCTTCAAGAATATGTCAAGTAAAACAAGATGCCATTTTCCCCATATCAAGTGGCAAAAAGGTAATATACTGAACAATCCAGTGTTGACAAGGATGTGAAAACAGGTTATTTAGATCCTTTATAAAGAGATATTGTACTCCCTGTTAGAATACAAATTGGTAAAACATTTCTGGAGAGAAATTTGGCAGAAGTTACTGAAATTTAATATGTTTACCCTCTCATGTAATTCCACATCTGGGAATCTACCTTACAGAAAAATTCACAGAGATGAAAAGATCCGTCATAGTACCATTATCAATATAGTGAGAAACAACTTAAATCAACTTCAGTGTCTATCAAGGAGGAAATGCTAAAGTTTTCTTTTGACACAATATTCAGAAGCTGTTAAAAATAACAAAACAGAGAAGAACTCATTGCAGAACACTATTTTTGTTTAAAAATGAACTCCTATAACTTAAAAAAAAACTGCTTATATACATATATTTGTATGAGCATACAAAAGAAAAAATCTGGAAGGTTACCCATCAAACTTAACAGTGGGGGAACTTCGTACCTATCTGTGTTGTTTGATACTAAAACAAAACTTTTTAAAAACAAAAACATGTATGAACAACAAACTGTAGCAGAGATGGCTGGCTGGCCACCACACATTCATGTTTCACAGTCCTTAGTACAGAAGGGCTATCAAGTCAGAAGCTACATGGGGCCTGTGATCAGTCTTTGCCAATGAAACAAGAGTAGAGAGGGATGTGCAATTCTATGTCAACAAAGTTGAGAAAGAGCTATACCTCATCTTTGCCCTCACTCTCCCCTGACTGAGGCTGAAAATAAAGGAGTTTAAGGACCTAGGATAATGTTTCTCAAACTTTTGTACATAAAGAATCACCTGGGACTTCATTAAATTGCAGATTCTTGTTCAGTAGCTCCAGGTGTAGCCTGAGTTTGCATTTCTAACAAGCTCCCAGGTAATGCCAACTCTGCTAATCTCACAGTCTAAGTAGCAAGCACCTAGTGGCTGAAAGCACAGGAGGCAGAATCCTGAGTTCCTGTGTCACCAGGCAGAAAGAAGAAAGCCACCTGGACAAGGAACATATATACTGGATTATTAAATTAGCTGGTCCAAATAAGTATTATGCCATTGCATTTTGAAGTTTGTTTCTGGTAACACTGTTACCCTACTATAAAAATCTTTGTTATTTTGAACAGAACTTTG